AAAGTAAAGAAAGATTAAAATTGTTAATTTTAAATAAGGATGATAGAACTAAAAGTAAAACTTCTAATATTATGTAAAAAGAAGTTTTTAGAAATTTGTAAATAGTTGTATAATATTATTTCCTATAACATACTTTTTATTATTTTATTGTTAATTTGCATTTGTAATTTGTTATATCTATTTCATATATGTTTATTTCAACAACTTAATTTTCTTATTTTCCATGTATAAATTTTAACTTACTTCACTTATCATGCTTGTTTTATTTTTACAATTAATTTAACATTTCATTATACAATATCATTTATTTTTAATTTTTTTACAAATAAAAATTGTCTCATATATCTTGAAAAATAATATCGTATATTTATTTGAATCAACGATTATAATTTTTCATAAATAAAAAAAACAAAAATCTCTTAATTAATATTTTATTTAAAATAATTTATTAAAAATATGAGATTATACTATAAAATTTTAATTATAAAAAACAATGGTGATTACCAGATACTATAACCTAGTTGTAAATAAACGAAGAATAATTGTTGCTTATTTTTAAGAATAGAAATGTGGACTAAGTACATATTTCGTATTGATCATTTCAAGTTTTATATGTTCTTCATATGCATCAGTGTCGGTGTCACGATGAAATATATTATGTGAGTGTTCCTCTTATGGTGGTTTTCCTCTAATGTTCTTTAACATCTTATGGTGGTTTTCCTCTAATGTTCTTTAACATAATTACCATCCAACTCTATACCTTACCTATTAACAACTATCAACTAACACACAATTATCGAGGGTAAAAAGTAACCATTGAATGACAATTTAAATAGAAACGAGTGAAGAGTCATTATTTATTTTTACATATTTATTTGTAAATATATGTATTTTTTGAAAAGGTATTCTGTAAGCATAATATTTAAGATTAATGGTAAAATGTGTAAGAAAAAATGATTAGTAATTATATTTATACAAAAAAGATTAGTGACTATATGTGTACAAGAAAAAAAGTTTCTGACTCAACATATACATAGAAATTAATGTGAACATAGATCGGTTTGGGTCAGTTTTGATTTAAAATCGAAATCAAATAAAATAATATCGGTTTTTTGATTTTTAAAACTGAATCTAAAAAGAAAACCAGTTGCTTTGATTTCTTGGTTTTAGGTTTTACCGCATTGGGTTTCTAATTCTATTCATTTTGAAACCAGATAACTTAAACCTTAGTATTCAAATACTAACCAAGGTAACCAAGACAAATCTCATGATTTGATTATATGCTTGAGTTTGATCCTAAGTTTGATTTGGGACACATCTCACTAAGAACTTGAGATTTAAAAGAGATGGAAGAATAAAACCAATACCAATTACTGAACCCATGACCTCAGGTATAATGACCTCAGGTATAATGATCAAATGAACCGATTTTGTTATGCTCATGGAATTCATGGATATGTACAGACGAACCGATTTAAAGAATAAATATATTTCATAAAATCGGTTCGTTTTCAATTTTATCGGTTTCCGGGTTTCTAAAATCGGAATTGAAGCAAATATTTCGGTTTTCTAAAAAACTCAAACCCAAATTGTCGATTTCTCTTTTGGTTTTAGGTTTAGGGTTTTGGTTTTGTCGATTTTTCGGTTTTTGCTCATCCATAATAGAAATCTATAATAACTTGTCTCAATAATGTTTTTTAACAATATTAAGAAGTTCAATATTAGATGAAACACAAAAATAAATTTAATGACTAAATGTATATAAAACCTAAATTTAGTTGGCTTTACAAATCATTATATAGTTATTTATGATATTAGAATTAAACCCAACATTGATTTGGATCAAATCATATAACCATCAATTTTAATAAAATCTTATCTTTGACTTAAACGTGTATTTCTTGTTTTCTTGTATTTAAATTTGTTTATTTTTATGAATTGTTATCTGTTATTCTATTTAATAATGTATTGTTTTAGCATACATATTTCATTTAAATGACATCAACAACAAAATATATTCATTTTGTAAAATAAAAAAAATAAAAAATAATCTTTGAAAATAGTCATATAAGCGGATAATTGTGAACAAAATAACGAGTTTTTGAATTTTTATATAAAATAATCATTATTTTTGAATTGCTTAGACTTCAAACTTATTTAAGGCTTTTATATATATATATATATATATATATATATATATATATATATATATATATATAAAATGTAGATTAACAACTATTGTAGACATGTGGACAATATTATTTTATTAGAATTATTAAGACAATAAGATGTTTAATAATATAAATACGTTCAACCTCACATAATTATTATCATTTTCATTCATTTTCACTAATATTTACCATTCTAATTTTGTAAAACCGTGAGACCAAATATAAAAATAATTTTAAAATGCAAAATAAATGGAAAAATCCAACTTTTTTTTTAAATATTATTTTCGGAACTTAAATTAACTTAAAAAAAATTAAAAAATTAAAAAATACGTCTTACGGTCTTACAAAATATTGGTGGTCTCAAATGAACTTAATCATATATATATATATATATATATATATATATATATATATATATATATATATATATATATATTAAAAAATGCCTTTTAATTAACACTATAATTTTGCACAATGAAATTTCTTTTTAGAGTTAAATTGATTTTCAAAAGATCGCTACGACAAAATAAATAAATAAATAAAATAGTTGAATTTATATATATATATATATATATATATATATATATATATATATATATATATATATATATATATATATATATATATATATATATATATATATATTCTGTAGCAGAAATAAGAATTTCATAGTATATAACAATCGACAATTGTAGAGTTGGTCTTAACGAATTTAATGAAATTTTTATATAAAAAATAAAAAGATGGTTATTTTAGTAGAAAATATTTCTTTATATTTATTTCATTATTTTATCTTGAAATAATTTTTAATTTTCTATCAGCATATTTATGAAGCTTATATTTTAAAATATTAAAAATTCAATTAAATACATTCGTTGTTTTGATTAATGATTTTAATGCAATTAATATAGGTAAATAGTCGTTTTCTGATAATGAGTTTATGGTTTTTTAATTGCAATGTATGCATCAATCAATGTCGCTGTCTTATGATTCATGCTTTTCTATCATTTTTTCGGTTTAATTATTTGTCATATTTTACAAAACTTCATCAAAAGTTGATATTTACAAAGTTGTTAAGAACCGGGTCTTCTAAAAATCGTTTAGCGCTATATAAGATTGTTAAGGTGATATCTAATTAGATCACAATATTATACCAAAATCATTTAAAACACAATATATATATATATATATATATATATATATATATATATATATATATATATATATATATATATATATATATATATATATATATATATATATATATATATATATATATATATATATATATATATATATATATATATATATATATATATATATATATATGGAAAACTACAAAAAAAATCCTACATATTGCCTAATAATCGATTTAGTCTTTATATTTTTTGTTATTCAATTAAGTCCCAAATACAGGTAATGGTATTCAATTTAACCTTTTGACCCGATCAACAGGTTATCCAACTTTAAAAAATTATATTTTCGGCTTAGATTTCAAACTTTATTACAAATTTGGTCCAAATTTTACATTTTTGGCTTAAATTTTAAACTTTTTTACAAATTTGGTTTAAAATTTATACTTTTCGCCCAAATTTTAGAATTTTATTATGAATTCATCCTAACTTTAGTCTTTTTTCAACTTTTTTTTTTCAAAAGTTTGTTTCTAATATGTTTTTTCTTTAAAACTCATATTTATACAAAAAAAATATATATATATTTTTTCGCATAAAAATCTTATTTTTTCTATATAAAAACTTATTTTAAAAACTTTTTTGTATATGAAATACCTAATTATAAAAATAAGTTTGGATTATTTGTGTGATTTCTTTTAAAAAATCAATTAAGAAATTAAAAGTAACCCTAAATTATACTGTTAAATTATAGTTTGTCAAAAACTAGTTACACTAGTTACCCTAAATTATACTATTAATATAGATATTTTAATATGTGTTCTATTTAGTGTGTATTCTTTTTTCTACGAGATGTTAATATAGTTGTTTATATGTATTTTTCAATCTGTTGCATTTTCGTAAATTAAATTATGCCTTCGATCACATATATATATATATATATATATATATATATATATATATATATATATATATATATATATATATATATATATATATATGACAAAAGGTATGTAAAGTTAATCTCATATATGACAATCCATATTGATTTCAGTAGGAGTTGTAACTATCAACGTTTGTAATACTTTTTTATATTTTTTAAAATGTCATTTTCTGTCAAAAACCTCCTTATCGACAAATGACAATTGCTCCATTCTAGATAGTTATTTTTTGTTATTACAACAAACAAAACTGACACATGAATCTGATTTTACAAAGAAGTTTAAATAAATAAATCCAAAGTGATGATGAACTATATATATGAACATGTATTCAGCGAGAAACAAAAAATATGAAGTTTTCAATATGTAGCATCTTTTATTATTTAAAATTTTCCTATAAATGTGATTAAAGAACAAATAAATAATATTAAAATGAGTGTAACTAGTTTTTGACAAACTATAATTTAATGGTATATTTTAGGATTACTTTTAATTTCTTAATTGATTTTTTAAGAGAAATCACACAAATAATCCAAACCTATTTTTATAATTAGATATTTCATATACAAAAA